CAATCTTTTCTTGAGACATTCTTAGATGATTAATCATTTGACCAAGAAACTATTTTTAAAGAAAAGTGTAAATAAAAAATACTATCATTGCCAAATGCTATCCAAAAAGATCAGGGGAATTTTTTCTAGACCTATTAGCCCTGCCTATAACTATAAATTAAACATGTCCTGAAATCTTGAAATTATTTTTATGCACTAGTCAAAGAAATATTTAAAGCTATATCAGTTTCAGGTACATTAAATTCATATTTTTCTATGAGAAAGGCCAAATTTATTCCAAAGGGTCAGAAACCCTTTGGATAGAAAAAACTATCTGCAAAATTCTCCAGCTAGAAATACCTTTCTAAATAAGCCATCCCTTTAAGCATAATTAATTAATTTTTTTAAAAATCAGGAAAAGAGCCATTTACTTGTACATCTCAGATTCCTAAGTGGTATCTAAATTCAAAATAAACATGCAAAAAGGAGTTCCAAACATGCAAAAGGAGTTCCACAAAGGGATGTCTAGGACCAATCCGGGAAACTCCAGGAAATTAACACTTCAAATACTTCCTGTGACTGGCAGGAAATATTCACAAAGCATTCTGGAGGCTAAGGCTAAAAACTGGGTAAGCTCGGCTGTTAACAGTTTAAGTGAGACATGGGAGAAAGGTCCAGAAAAATTGAAACTGAAGTGCCAAAGAAAATTACCAGCTTTGTTAAAATGAACCACAAGGATGAAGTTATCCCCTCCAACAACCATTGTAGACACGGCACACTATCTAAGAACCTTCATGCTAATGCCCTTGGGAGCCACTATAATTCTACACTGTACATACCTAGAGATGTAGTTTATCTACATACCTACTAGGAGTCTCTTTCTGGGGAACAGCAGTAATCACTCAATCACTAATGCATGCTAACCATGTGTCAACAATCATTCTGGGCACTTCACATACCAGGCTTCATTTGTTCCTCACATCAAACCTCCAAGAGGGCATTATCCCATTTACAGATGTGAAAACTTAGAAACACAGTAACTCATCAGATTTTTTTAGGAGAGGAAAAAGTTACCTGTCAGGATTCAAATCCAAACCTGTCTCCTTCCACACTGGCCTCTGGTTTCTTGCTGGAGCCCCAACTTTCTCTATAGAATTAAAGCCATAACAGTACAGAAAATTCTGTACTTGACTCACCCATTCCCTAACTAATAACAACTTCATACAGAGCATTTTGGCACTACTGTTCCTCCTTTCAATATTCAGCTATCATAACATTAAAGCCAGATGGCATAACAGTATGCAAACACTGAGTTAGGCTATTTATAATAATCATTTGCTGAGCACTTACTATGTGCCAGATACTGTTCTAAATGCTTGTAACAATCTCATGGCGGGGGCGGGGGGGGGGGGGGGCTTGGGTGGCTCAGTTGGTTAAGCATCTGCCTTCTGCTCAGGTCATGATTCCAGGGTCCCGGATCCGGCTCCCTGCTCAGCAGGGAGTCTGCTTCTCCTTCTCCCTCTGCCCCCACCCCCTGCTCCTTTTCTTTTTCTCTCTCTCTCAAATTAATAAAATCTTTAAAACTACAGTGTCGGGGCGCCTGGGTGGCTCAGTCGTTAAGCGTCTGCCTTCGGCTCAGGTCATGATCCCAGGGTCCTGGGATCGAGCCCTACATCGGGCTCTCTGTTCAGCGGGGAGCCTGCTTCTCTCTCTCCCACTCTGCCTGCTTGTGTTCCCTCTCTCACTGTCTCTCTCTGTCAAATAAATAAATAAATAAATAATCTTTAAAAAAAATAAAATAAAATAAAATAAAACTACAGTGTCATATGGCAGGTTCTATCAATACCCTTATTTTATAGATGAAGAAACTGAAGCACAAAAAGCCAAATTATGCTAAGTGGGGATCTGGCATTCAAATCAGGTTGCCTGGCTCCACAGCACATGCTCTTAAATTCCTTCCTCTCTCCCAAGTTTCTGATTGCACCCTCTTAACTATGTAAACTAAGTATCATCAATCCCAATTTATAGAGGAGGAAACAGAGGCTAAGAAAGGTGAAGTACAGTTAACCCTTGAACACAGGTTTTAACTGTGCAGATTCACTTACATCAAGACTTTTTACAGTACAGTAAATGTATTTTCCTTATAATTTTCTTTTCTCTAGCTTACTTTCTTGTAAGAATACAGTATATAATACATATACAAAATATGTGTTAATTGACTTTATTATCGATTATCATACAGCTTCCAGTCAACAGTAAGCTATTAGTAGTTTAGTTCTGGGGGAGTCAAAAGTTATAGTACATTTTCAACTGGGGGAGGTGGCGCCCCTAAGTCCCACATTGTTCAAGAGTCAACTGTAATTTGCTTAAAGTCACTCAACTTTTAGTGGTTAAGGCATGGTTTGAATCATTTTTTTTTCACACTCCCAAGATATTGATACACCATGTCAAAGGAGAATACTAACTATAAAAAGAAAAGCAATAATATTCTATGTATTTCAAAACAGTCCACTGAAAATTCTAGGTTATATGCAAATTCTTCTTAAAGATGTTTAAATATGAGAAAAGAAAAACTGTTATGGTAATGAGAAACTGACAAAAAAGGCCAAAGGCCTCTTGATTATTACAGGCAGAAAACCCCTGCAAGTTTTTAAGAATTGTATCTTTTATTATGAGGCCAAATAATACAAACTCAGTCTGACACAAGCATGCACCATGCTCCCATCTCACCACCACTCCCTCTCACGCCAATAGACAATATGAGAGTCAGCTTTATTAGTCATGCTCCTTTTCCTAAGAGATCAAAAAACAAAAGCAACCTCTAAGAATACACCTACTTTGGGCTACTCTCTTAAATCTGGTAACACTCTGAAAGCAGGAATTATTGATGTTATTTAAGATACAACTACCAAGAAACAGGTATATGAATGCATTTAATACTCTTTGTCTCTTGTGAAGAAAGGATTTGTCTTTCTGAAATCTGTAAACCAAGACAAAGAAGAGAAAGCCTCAGAAAAGTGATTTTTCCTTAACACCAGACAAAAACATCACTGCTTTCAAATGCTGTTTCTAAAGACCCAATTAGATGGTCTAACTCCTCTGCAGTTACATACTTTAGTATTTCAGAAAATGTCTTCCATCAATTATCCATCTAGAGTAAAACTGAGCAATATAATCGTGCCTCTTGTATTTCCCACATATCCCAGGGTCTTGGGCAGCAAAACAAATTATGCATAGAAGAAACATCTACCCTAAAATTACCAGTTCTACTTAGGACAACTGAACTTACATTCTCAAAAACGGAAAGTGAGAAAGCAACTGAAAAACCCCATTCCATCTCCTCTGTACCAGTTACAGATTATAAAAACCAAAAGATACAAGAAGACAAATTGTAATTTCTAAGTATGTTTCATAGCATCTTGCAGACTTGGCGGGGGGGGGGGGGGGGGGGGGGGGGGGGGGGGGGGATTATCATACACAAGTCAGAATTCAGACCACAGAATAAATGTGGTCGTTTCAGGAGAGAAAATCATATTCAGAATTGTTCAACGCTTTTGGAAAATAACCAGTACCGTGTAATGAAAAGCATTAAATATTTTAATGAGACCAAAGGAATCCAGTAACGTGTGAATGATAATTTAGTGGTCCAAAGTGCACAGTAGACAAACAAGTTCCACTGTCAACCTCCTAAATGATGTTTTGAAATAAGGAGGAACTTTAAGAAAGGAAATCACCTCAAAACATTCTGTTAAATTCAAAATTATTTTTTCTGAACTGAAAAACAAATCTGAGTTAATAAAAAATTGTTTCCATATGCAAATATACAGAGATGCAGTCCATCCCCTTCCCTCTCCATTTCCACTTCCCCTCGAGTGATTCCTTTCAAACAGCTATTTAAACAAGCACAGATGCTATCTGAAATGAAAACTTCCTTTCCATTCCCTAAGCTAAAGACAGCAGCTTTCTCAGGAAAGCGGAATAAAGCTCAGTCAACCCACAGTGCCTTAATTTCCGAAATGCTCTATGTTACCAAAATAAAAGCTAATATCCGAAGAAAGCAATTCCTTGTATACTTCACAAAGGAAAAAATAAAATCAGGAAAACAAAAAGGTGGAAAAAGAAAGGCAACTTAAAAGCAAACCACCACACCCTCAACTCCGCGTTGCAACCCGTCTGCCAGGGGCCTTTACCTTCATTTTCCATCGAAACTGCACTTGGGTTGATGGCTACAAAGTCTTTAGTGTCAGCCGCGGCCACACTGGGAATAGAGAGGAGAGGAGGACAAGGAAGAGAAGCCCCCGGAATCCCAGGCTGTCACCCCCTCTCCCGGCCACACGTCCCACGGCTGCTCCCACCACCCCTAGCAGCAGCATCTGCAAGAGAAACCAGGAGAAGCGGCGCTGACGACAGAGAGGGCGAGGAGGGAGACCCCCGCCCCGCCACCACGTCGGGAGCCCCCAGATCGCATGCCCACCCCCTCAGCCCCGCAACGCCCCCAGCTCAAGCCGGCGGGGCGGCGCCCTAGAGACACCCCCAAGCTGGGGTATCACCGGCCGCTCCCTCCCTCAGGACCTGGAAGTTTCTGGAAATGGGGGGCAATAGGTAATGCCGGTGCCCTCCCAAAGCCCCAGACCCCCTTCCTCCGGGCTGCGGGGGACTCACCCGCGAGGCTCGCGGGAGCGCCCCGCGTGCCTGGAGCGAAGAGGAGTGGCTCGCCGAGCGGCGGCGCCAGGCAAGAGCCTGCTCCCGGCGTCAGGAAGGAGCGAACGGGAGGGCGGTCGGGGAGGGGAAAGGAGAGGAGGTGAGGGGACCCGTCAGGGTCGGCCCGGCCGGCTCGGCGCGGCCGCGCTGGTCTGCTCCTGCCTCCGCCTCCTGCGCTCGGCCCCTCCCCGCCGCCCCCCGCCCCAGCACGCCCCGTACTCCCGGGCCCGCCGCGGACCGAGCTTTGTCGCTACTACTTCCGCTGCGAGAGGAGCGCGCGCCTGCGCACTCGCACGCACAGGCGCAGACGGCGGAAATGAAGCGAAGGCCGGGCCGCCCGCCCGAAAGGGCTCTGGTTGGGTGCGGAGCAGTCCCGTACGAGGGCGCGCTGGGCCCGAGCCCCGCCCCGGCCCTACCTTCCCTGTGGAGGCTCTTCGCTGACCCCTGGGACGGTACCTGCCCGTTTCTACGCACCCACTGGGCGCGAGGGTCGGAGACCCACCCGCTCCCCAGCCCCGGGCACGCATTCTCAAGAGGCAGCCGCGGGGTAGGGCCAAGCGGGCAGGTACGATCATGCTCCCTGTCCCCGAGGTATTTGAGCGCCCTCAACAAAGGCGACCTGGGAAGCCCCTCCCGTCGGGGTGGCCGTCACAATCTCGGCGGGCGACGCGAGGACCTCCGAGGGAAGGGGCGAACGCAGAGGGACTCTGGTGTTCTCACTGGGACTTCCCAACCTCACTTGCAGACCCCTGTTACAGCTGCTTTGCTCTGACTTGCGGGAGCAGGTCATCGCGGGGCGACTTCCCAAGGTTCTATCCCGCTAAGGGATCTGCTGAAGTGCCTGTGTGTAATGAGAAGGCAGGACTCAGCCTTTTCACGTGTGTGGAACCCGAAAGGTTGGAGCCACTAGAAACCGAGCGTCCAGGGGTGGAAGCCGAAGAACGGGAATTACCTCCAGCACTGGCTATGTCTTTTGCCACTTGAACCTTTCACTTGCTCAGCATCTCACCCAGACCCCCCAGTAAGTGACTTTTTTATGGACGGTTGATGTTAATAAACTTTGGCCCGGAACCGGAGACTAAACCTAAGTCTTCTCGCACCCAAATCCACTAGAGGGCAGGGCTACACCTTCTGAGTTCGACCGCATTCGCCACAAAGAACTGTAAAAACCGCAGGAGTCCTCCCTTGTGTGCTAGAGGTATTTTTCTCCATCACCACTTATTCTCATTAAAAAATTTGCCCCTTATCTCAGGTCCTGTAACACTTCCCGATATGTTCTCTGACCACATGTTCAACGTCAAAATAAATGGACCGGGTTACCTGTGTTCCCTATTTAACCCTGTGGAATTAGTCTAGGATCAAAAGTTCTGGACAGCTTTCTAGATTTACTTTTCAATGAAGATACGTTAAGATTTTATTCAACGAGGTCACTATTAAATTCCAAAACAAACCATAAAAATCAGGATGAACTAGTTTCTAGTCTTAGAGTTACTATCTATAACACACCTTTGGCTTACATGCTTAGGGATTTTTGCCCAGCCAACAGTGTTATAAACCTCATTTGTAAAACAAGGAATGTGCTATCTCTTGCTCAATGTTGTAATCAATTTGTAATGATTATTAGTTACTATACTTATTGGACCTTGACACCACAGCATTGTATTAAAAACATAAGCACGTAAAGTAGAAAATGTAAATGTAGACATTATTCGATATTAACATATGATCTTACAAAATTGAGGGTAATTTCCCTATACAAAATTTGATATTGGATTGCCTTAATTAGCTAAGACATTTTTCTTTTTTTATTGTTATTAACATATAATGTGTTATTTGTTTCAGGGGTACAGGTCTGTGATTCATCAGTCTTACTCAACACAAAGCACTCACCACAACACATACCCTCCCCAAAGACCATCACCCAGCTACCCCATACACCCCAAGCTCAGGCATTTTTTCTGAGGTAACTTCAGAATTATCTGTTGTGCACTGCAAAACCCCAGCATTAACACAGAATTCAAAACTAACTCCCCCAAAGATATATCACCCCATGGCTTAAACCTAAAGTAGCTTACAGTGGAATTTTACTTTTTGGTTGCCTAAATTGTGAAAGCCATTGTTCCTATAACTAAGGCAAAAAAGAAACTGGATAAAACCAGCTTTGTCCAGAAGAACTGTTACACACTGCCTGCATTCTTAATCCACCATCAGTCATCTCACAAACTCCTGGGCTTGGGAGCAGCAAAAAGCCTTTAAGGATAGCTAGTTCAACCCCTCAGCTGATCCTTCAGCCTTATCAACACATCTCCATAGAGTGATCCTCTGTTCTGTGTCTGAACACCTCTTCTACCAAGCTAGCCAACATCACTAGCACCAGCTTTGACTTCCTATGTAAATGAAAGATAGCATTTATTAACACTGTTCAAGCCAGAGCAGTGGGGAATGCTTGAGCCATAAGCTTCAGAAATCCTCTTCCTAAAAAGAAAGAAAAAGAAAAAAGAAATCCTCTTCCTTCTTTCAGCATTCTCTCCTCCGACCAGCTAACCTGCCATGAGACTTTTGTATTAGCAATCTCCACCTCCTCATCTTGGGGGAAGGGGACTAAAATACATGTACACTGCATTACATATATATACATTCACCTGTACATATACATACATATATATTATATTTTAGATACAGATGTATGCATAATAACTATCCTTTCCCTCAAAAGATTGTTGTGAGGATCTGATAAAGTGAAGACAGGTCGTAAATTATAGGCACTGTATAAGATTATACAGAGAAACAAGCAAAACAGACTATTAGCTAGCTAGAATGAGATTAATTAGATTAATGGCAATGAAATGTATTATGTTCAAGTTCCCTCTGTTTTCTTCTTTATGAATCAGTGCTCTAAAAATCTACTCATTTGGTTCTGAATATTTAACCTACAAAATTAATTAAATATATCTGATGCAAAAAGTGTTCCACATATGAGCAATAAAGGGGAATTTGTCAGGTACCTCTGCTTGGGGGAAATACTACAAATAGGGAAGATTGAGGAAGGATAGTCATGGTGTTCAAATTTTATTTATACTGTGCCTTATTACACAAAGGATGTGAGGCATCTTGTTATTAATAACAAATTTGATAGATGGCATTTTTATAAACCTGGATGATGAAGAAATATGTGGCCCTTTAGGATTTAAAAATTAACCTGGAAAAGGTTGTTTTAAAATCTTTCCTTAATGTTTTATTTTATTTTTTTTAAGATTTTATTTATTTATTTGAGAGAGAGAGAGACAGACAGAGCACAAGCAGGGGGAGGGGCAAACGGAAAGGGAGAAGCAGACTCCAAGCTGAGCAGGGAGCCTGATGTGGGACTCAATCACAGGACTTTGAGATCATGACCTGAGCCGAAGGCAGACACTTAACCTACTGAGCTACCCAGGCGCCCCTATTAATGTTTTATTTTAAAGGCTATTTTAACGTTGTTTTAAGTACCAAAGATTAATAGTTAAGGAATTTTACCTAGCTGCTAGAAAAAAAGTTGTCATTTTTTTTAAGGTAGATATTTTAAAAGCATATAAAGACACAGTGCTTTATTGTTATAAGCTAACCTATTCAAACAGAACAACAGAAGTATTTTTCTTCCTGTGAGAGAAAGGACATGCTAGGGGTCAAGTTGGGGGAAATACAGTCTTACTAAAAGAAGCATCATATCGAATCAGTGTCTAACAATCACCTGCCAGAATTGCTGTACATCTGCTTGGTTCTCTATCTTAGCTGTACTGGAAGAGTAAAAATTAGAAGCAAGAATAAAAATCAAATGAGCTCAAAAATGATCTACCTGTATTTGGTTGGCTTTACTAAGCACAGAGATACCCAAGTACTTTACAAATATTTTATCAGCCCACAAAATTGCATAGCTTCTACACTTGCTAGCATTTCCTTGCTGAAACTAGCAGAAGAAACTAGAGAATTGTAAGTGTGCTTTTTTAATTTTCAAAGTTTATATATGACTCAGTTTCCTCATTCAACAAGTTCTGAGCCTGTGGTGATATTTGGGATCTTTGGTATGTACTACCAATCTTCTGGATTGGAGGTGAGGGGTAGGTGGGAGCACAGATGAGGATAAGAAAGGGAAAGGGGGACGATTGGGTGGCTCAGTAGGTTAAGCATCTGCCTTCAGCTCAGGTCATGATCCCAGGGTCCTGGGATGGAGCCCCGCATCAGGCTCTCTGCTCAGCAGGGAGTCTGCTTCTCCCTCTGCCTCTGCCACTCCCTTGCTTGTGAGCTCTCTCTTGCTCACTCTCTCAAATAAATAAGAGCTTTAAAAAAAAAAAAAAGGGAAAGAGGAAGAGCAAAGTGAGTATGAGTCCCATATCCAGAAGTCATCTCTGGACTTCATTGTTTCCACGGAAAATAGACATACAATATTCCATATTATATACATGCCAAGATTTATCTTGAGGTAAAAATGTACCCATTTAAAGGATATTCTGTCTAGTTTCCAAACTGGCATAATTCATCTCTGGCCCAAAATCATTGGTCTGTAGTAAATATCTAATAAAGACCTATTGAATAAATGGGTAATCTGGAAAATGGTCATCATAAATACATATATGTTGTTGAATGAATAAACATTATCCCACTTTTTTTTTTTTAATATTTTATTTATTTGTCAGAGAGAGAGAGCGCACAAGCAGGGGAAGCAGCAGGCAACGGGAGAAGCAGGCTCCCCGCTGAGCAGGGAGCCTGATGTGGGACTCGATCCCAAGACCCTGGGATCAAAACCTGAGCTAAAGACAGACGCTTAGCCACCCAGGTGTCCCCCCACCTTTTTATTTTTTAAACATAATCCCACCTTTGATTTTGCTACTTGCTACCTGTGATCAAACTAAAACATGAGCTACTTTCCTATAAAGCAAAGAATTAAGGGATTTTCCAAGGTTTAAGATTGAACTTAAATCTCCGAACCACAAAGGGGTTAACTAGTACAACTTGGTCTAAACAAGAATAAGTCCTAATCATTGTAGGAAGTATTAAAAATTGAGCACTACTCAAAGCAGATGAAATTTCACACCCAGATTTTGAACCCAGATAACCATTTGAAATTAAAACATAACGATGTTGGGGCGCCTGGGTGGCTCAGTCATTGAGCGGCTGCCTTCGGCTCAGGTCATGGTCCCAGGGTCCTGGGATCGAGCCCCGCATCAGGCTCCCTGCTCCAGGGGAGCCTGTTTCTCCCTCTCCCCTCCCCCCCCACTTGTATTGTCTCTCTCTCTCTGTCAAATAAATAAATAAAATTTAAAAAAACAAAACAAAACAAAAAAAACATAATGATGTTGAGGTGGCTGCTTCCATGCACAAGCTGAGCTTGTGCTTTGGGTTTTGATGGCATGTATATCAATGCGTGACAAAGTCAAAAGCACTATCATGTCCTGCACGGTCTTCGGTTATTACCTTAAGTATCCAGGAATCTACTCTTAATTCTTGGACAAGACAGCTTGGAGACTAGGTATAAGCAACAGGCCTTAGAATAGCCAACTACACTAAGTTGCCACTGGCCAGCATTCTCCTCATTTTGTAAGCTTTACAGATAGGTTGGTTGTCATAAATTAGTTGAAACTATCAGACAGATTCCATATTATATCTGCTGATCCCTTGCTGTGTTGGCAGTAATAGCCTGGGCCCCCTACGTCCATTCAAATCCTCAATTTCACATCAGAAACATTTTCAATCTTTGTATACTGTGTTGCACACTGGAGAGAGCTTTGGGAAAGGTTGCTTTTCCTCAGACTACCAAAATGGTATGTTTTGCACTTAAAAGTTTTCTACCCCACCATTTTCTAGAAGTCAAATATTTTTTGCAAAGCTTGCATCTTTGCCTGAACTTGTCCCAAGTCCAGGCCCCCTGCAGAAATCATCCCTCTCCACCGTGCTTCCTATTGTGAGAACAAATGAGAAAAAAGGCACAAAAATGCCATTATGATAATAAATTAGAGAGGGAGATCAACAGCACAGAAATTGCCCAAGGTTTTATGAGGATTCTCAAGTTTAGCCCTGGACAGTCATGCAAGTCTACAGACCATATTCCTATTGAGCATACTACACAAAATAGGGAACCCACACCAAAGAGATGGTTTATGAAACAGCTAACAGAGAAAGGAGAAATGCAATTTGGCAAGATGGTTTATAAGATAGATGATAGAG